TACTTTTAAACATCTCAACATGTTTAAATGTTTTACCTGGTAAGTGGGCTTATTAACCGAAAAAGGAAAAAAAATACTTAAAGAAATATGTATAAATAAAAAATAAGTAGTGTGAAAAAAAGAAATAAAAAACGTTTAAATATTACAGGATTTCCATTATTACTTTAGTTGTTCAACTAAACAAAACAGTGAAAAATAAGAAATTTTCCACACTTACTATTTTGCTAGAACAAAAGAATAATGCTTTTTATTTGAAGATTTTCAAGGCACTAGTGAAAAACATTATCTGTCATTATCTTGTTTGTAGAGGAGTGGAAAATTATAAGAAAACTGAAAGAAATAAAAAATGAAAAGTGTGCCTTTTAAACGACACCATTGCAAACAATAGACATTTGGCTGTTGTTGCTCTGAGTTTAAGTGCTTTTTTAATTTTTTTTTTTTTTCATTTTCGCAAAAAGCTTATTTTTATGTTTTATTCTACCGTCCAAAATAACAACTAAATCACACCACCATCAGCCTTCGCAATTTTGTAGAACTTTTGGTCAATGTATAATTTGTTGCAGAAAAGAGAAGTATTTAAATAATGTTTTTATACTTTTCTTTCTGATACAAATTGCTCTTAAATTTCTCAATATTTATAATTTTTATTTTTGTGTAATTTGTTGCAACCATTTCGAAAAGTAATTTTTATAGAAAACATGCTTTAATTTTGTATAAAATATTATTTATAGAAAAGATATATCCTATGATTTTCGTTTTATAGAAAATTCTCGATAAATATTAATTTTAAAGAAAGTTTTCTATAGAATTCTTTTAACAGTTAAGTTCTATTTCAGTTCTAGTTTTAGTTCAGTTCTAGTTCAGTTCCAGTTCAGTTCTAGTTCAGTTCTAGTAGTCTAGTTCAGTTCTAGTTCAGTTCTAGTTCAGTTCTAGTTCAGTTCTAGTTCAGTTCTAGTTCAGTTCTAGTTCAGTTCTAGTTCAGTTCTAGTTCAGTTCTAGTTCAGTTCTAGTTCAGTTCTAGTTCAGTTCTAGTTCAGTTCTAGTTCAGTTCTAGTTCAGTTCTAGTTCAGTTCTAGTTCAGTTCTAGTTCAGTTCTAGTTCAGTTCTAGTTCAGTTCTAGTTCAGTTCTAGTTCAGTTCTAGTTCAGTTCTAGTTCAGTTCTAGTTCAGTTCTAGTTCAGTTCTAGTTCAGTTCTAGTTCAGTTCTAGTTCAGTTCTAGTTCAGTTCTAGTTCAGTTCTAGTTCAGTTCTAGTTCAGTTCTAGTTCAGTTCTAGTTCAGTTCTAGTTCAGTTCTAGTTCAGTTCTAGTTCAGTTCTAGTTCAGTTCTAGTTCAGTTCTAGTTCAGTTCTAGTTCAGTTCTAGTTCAGTTCTAGTTCAGTTCTAGTTCAGTTCTAGTTCAGTTCTAGTTCAGTTCTAGTTCAGTTCTAGTTCAGTTCTAGTTCATTCTAGTTCAGTTCTAGTTCAGTTCTAGTTCAGTTCTAGTTCAGTTCTAGTTCAGTTCTAGTTCAGTTCTAGTTCAGTTCTAGTTCAGTTCTAGTTCAGTTCTAGTTCAGTTCTAGTTCAGTTCTAGTTCAGTTCTAGTTCAGTTCTAGTTTTCAGTTCTAGTTCAGTTCTAGTTCAGTTCTAGTTCAGTTCTAGTTCAGTTCTAGTTCAGTTCTAGTTCAGTTCTAGTTCAGTTCTAGTTCAGTTCTAGTTCAGTTCTAGTTCAGTTCTAGTTCAGTTCAGTTCTAGTTCAGTTCTAGTTCAGTTCTAGTTCAGTTCTAGTTCAGTTCTAGTTCAGTTCTAGTTCAGTTCTAGTTCAGTTCTAGTTCAGTTCTAGTTCAGTTCTAGTTCAGTTCTAGTTCAGTTCTAGTTCAGTTCTAGTTCAGTTCTAGTTCAGTTCTAGTTCAGTTCTAGTTCAGTTCTAGTTCAGTTCTAGTTCAGTTCTAGTTCAGTTCTAGTTCAGTTCTAGTTCAGTTCTAGTTCAGTTCTAGTTCAGTTTCTAGTTCAGTTCTAGTTCAGTTCTAGTTCAGTTCTAGTTCAGTTCTAGTTCAGTTCTAGTTCAGTTCTAGTTCAGTTCTAGTTCAGTTCTAGTTCAGTTTCTAGTTCAGTTCTAGTTCAGTTCTAGTTCAGTTCTAGTTCAGTTCTAGTTCAGTTCTAGTTCAGTTCTAGTTCAGTTCTAGTTCAGTTCTAGTTCAGTTCTAGTTCAGTTCTAGTTCAGTTCTAGTTCAGTTTCTAGTTCAGTTTCTAGTTCAGTTCTAGTTCAGTTCTAGTTCAGTTCTAGTTCAGTTCTAGTTCAGTTCTAGTTCAGTTCTAGTTCAGTTCTAGTTCAGTTCTAGTTCAGTTCTAGTTCAGTTCTAGTTCAGTTCTAGTTCAGTTCTAGTTCAGTTCTAGTTCAGTTCTAGTTCAGTTCTAGTTCAGTTCTAGTTCAGTTCTAGTTCAGTTCTAGTTCAGTTCTAGTTCAGTTCTAGTTCAGTTCTAGTTCAGTTCTAGTTCAGTTCTAGTTCAGTTCTAGTTCAGTTCTAGTTCAGTTCTAGTTCAGTTCTAGTTCAGTTCTAGTTCAGTTCTAGTTCAGTTCTAGTTCAGTTCTAGTTCAGTTCTAGTTCAGTTTAGTTCAGTTCTAGTTCAGTTCTAGTTCAGTTCTAGTTCAGTTCTAGTTCAGTTCTAGTTCAGTTCTAGTTCAGTTCTAGTTCAGTTCTAGTTCAGTTCTAGTTCAGTTCTAGTTCAGTTCTAGTTCAGTTCTAGTTCAGTTCTAGTTCAGTTTTAGTTCAGTCTCTAGTTCAGTTCTAGTTCCGTTCTAGTTCAGTTCTAGTTCAGTTCTTAGTTCGCCACCCCTCAAATTCTAGTTCAGTTCTAGTTCAGTTCTAGTTCAGTTTCTAGTTCAGTTCTAGTTCAGTTCTAGTTCAGTTCTAGTTCAGTTCTAGTCAGTCTAGTTCAGTTCTAGTTCAGTTCTAGTTCAGTTCTAGTTCCATTCTAGTTCAGTTCTAGTTCAGTTATAGTTCAGTTCTAGTTCAGTTCTAGTTCAGTTCAGTTCAGTTCTAGTTCAGATTCAGTTCAGTTCTAGTTTCAGCTCTAGTTCAGTTCTAGTTCATTTCTAGTTCAGTTTCTAGTTCAGTTCTAGTTCAGTTCTAGTTCAGTTCTAGTTCAGTTCTTAGTTCCTTTCTAGTTCAGTTCTAGTTCAGTTCTAGTTCAGTACTAGTCAGTTTTCTAGTTCAGTTCTAGTTCAGTTCTCGTTCAGTTCTAGTTCAGTTCTAGTTCAGTTCTAGTTCAGTTCTAGTTCAGTTTCTCAGTTCAGTTCTAGTTCAGTTCTAGTTCAGTTCTAGATTCTAGGTTTCTAGTTTCAGGTTCTAGTTCAGTTCTAGTTCAGTTCTAGTTCAGTTCTAGTTCAGTTTCTAGTTCAGTTCTAGTTCAGTTCTAGTTCAGTTCTAGTTCAGTTCTAGTTCAGTTCTAGTTAAGTTCTATTCAGTTCTAGTTCAGTTCTAGTTCAGTTCTAGTTCAGTTCTAGTTCAGTTCTAGTTCAGTTCTAATTCAGTTCTAATTCAGCTCTAATTCAGTTTTAGTTCAGTTCTAGTTCAGTTCTAGTTCAGTTCTAATACAGTTCTAGTTCAGTTCTAATTCAGTTCTAATTCATTTATAGTTCAGTTCTAGTTTAATATTATTTCAGTTCTCGTTCAGTTCTAATTTAGTTCAAGTTCAATTCTAATTCAGTTCTAGTTCAGTTCTAATTTAGTTCTAGTTCTATTCTAGATTATTAAATATCTTCATTTTATAAAAAACTTCAATTCTCTTTTTTGGAGAATCTGTAAAAATTTTCTTTGAAAATATTTGTAGTTATAAGTAATTTCGTCAATTTATATTTTTATAATTTTTGTATAGCTTTATTTTATTATGAAAACATTTTAATAAAATTAATTTTCTTTTTTATTAATTTTCGTTAATAAATTTTCTTTTTATAGAAAATATTCTATTCTTTTGATTTTGCTATAAAAACCGTTTGTATAAATATAAGAACAAAATTTTAGTTTTAATATTATTTCATTTTCTTTCATACAGAATTTTCGATAAAATTTAATTTAATAAATTTATTCATAAATATTATAATCTAGTTGACAGAAATTTGAGATAGATTCTCTTTTTATTGCAAGTTTTGATTTTTTTTTATTCTCACAAAAATTCTCTTCAAGAAATTATTAATAGTTTTTCTCTTTAAAAAAAATTTAATACAACAATCTACTTTTATGATAGAAAAATGTTTGTAAAAATTTGTATTTATTTTATTTTTTCAAAATAATCAATTTTATATTAATCCTATAGAATTTTATGCTAAATAGTTTCTAATTACAATTACAAATTTTTTATTAGACCCCTTAGATATTTTAACAAATTTAATAAAATTAAATATACCTTTGATCATAAACATCAAAGGATTAATAAATTAAATAAATAAAAATTTTTATTTATTTTATTTTTTCAAAATAATCAATTTTATATTAATCATATAGAATTTTATGCTAAATAGTTTCTAATTACAATTACAAATTTTTTATTAGACCCCTTAGATATTTTAACAAATTTAATAAAATTAAATTTACCTTTGATCATAAACATCAAAGGATTAATAAGCAATAAATTTGCATTTATGTTAAAATTTATAGTCATTAAGTAAACTTAAACTTTTGCCTTTTATCTCTATTTAAGAAAAAATTATTAAAAAGCATACAAGAACTCATAACAACAAATGGCACATTTCTAGCATAAATGACTACATGAATATTTGATGTGAAATGGCATTTGACCCACAAAAGCAAAAAAACGAAATACAAAAATTCTATTTAATATAAACCCTGTACTAAAACCGATATAAAATGTTAGATATACATAGTATATATGTATATATATATATATATGTAGGATGTATAGTTCTAGCTGTCCTCCATTCTTTACATTTTTTAACCTTTTTACTTTCCAACTCTTGTTCTCAGTCTTTATGAATGTTTTTCTATCTTTTTGTCTCTTTACAGAATCATAACGAATTATTTTGTAGTCTCGTTAGCCATGGCTGATATTATGGTCGCCATAATGGCCATGACATTTAACTTTAGTGTACAAGTAACAGGACGGTAAGTAATGTAAATATACATACCATATACATACCTACACATTACAATGCACTATTAAACATATACATACATAATATGTATATTTACACAATTGCACATAAATATTTACATTCCATATAAACATTTAGTCACATAAGTGAATTCAGATGTATATGCATATGAATGGTTAAATGTAGATACTACATAGTTTAACATTTTTTTCGGCACATACGAAAATATTGTCTCATATTTACAATGAAAAAGTGTTAGTTACGTGATGTTCAATTTTAACCATTGCTATGTGGCAAACGTTAAAATGAAACTGAAATTTGTTCAGAGTTTCCCTAACAACCCAGCTCAACATGGTAGTGACTTGAACTTACTTTTCAATTACTACTATATACCACCTGCATCACTTAGAAGGAGTCAAGTAATGGCTTACGAATAACAAATACGTAACTACTTACTCGATTTTTACAAAATCAAAAAAACTATATTTTTCTCAAAACTAATAGTAGAGGCAGTAGACGTATCCCTGTAGATTTTTTTCCTTAAAAGCAAACTATGTATTTAGTTACCAACTTATTAGCACATGATCGCAGAAAGTGTTTACCTACTTGTAGGAGAGCGTGGTAAGTACTTGCCTCCAATGTTATCACCGTCTTAAAATATTGACTTAAAATGCTATTGGCTAGTTCGATTTTAAATTTAAAAGATTTTTCCCATAGTCACCGATTTTGACAAAATTTTGTAATCACATAAGATAGATCTAGATTGAGATTCCAACTACTTTCCGAGATATGGCTAAAAATGTTCAAAAATTAAATTTTTCAACAAATCAAAAGTTATGCAATTTTTTTACGAAATTCTTAAGCACAAAGCTATACGATTACCACAGTTTTTTAAAAATGTAAGTAAAAAAACAGTTCTCACTTTTGCGAACATTCCCTTATATGTTCAATTTTGTACATATGAGGGAAAATCTGTAAAATTTAAAATGGAACTCATTTATTGTATAAGTAAATTTAAGCTTTTTAACCCCTTACTTTTTAAATTTATGTTTTTGCTGGGATATGCAAATTTTGTGAAAAAAAAATATTTAAAATGTATCTTGATTAAAAATATGACAATATGAATGTAAAAAAATGCAAAAGGAAAAAAACAAATAGAACAGCAAGGAGTCTATATTCGCCTTTTCCGAATCTTATATACCCCTCACTATAGTGTGTATAAAAAAAGATTAATTTTATATAATTTCAATTTATATAATTTTTCCCGACTCAACCATTACTTTAGCAATAACAAAACAAAAAACAACCACAACAACGCCAAGCGAAACAAAATACGCGAAGCAATGAAACCAACATACATCCAAACAAACGATTGTTGTTGTTTCGTCAAAGCATGCTAAAAATTTTCTGTTTTTTTATGAAATTTTCGGATTTTTGCTCATATCTCCGTTATTTATGGACGGATTTTGCTGATTTTCAATAACAAACTTCTCTAAAGTATGTCTGACAGAATTATTAAAGATTTGGATCCCAAAGATATCTGGAGTCTTCAGAAAATTGATTTCAACAGACGGACAGACAGACAGATGGACCTTGCTTAATAGGGTGTCCCGTGTACCACTTTTTAGAAGGAATACCTCTAAAACGATGCGTTTCAATGTGCTAAATACGAGAAAAATAAAAAAAATTAAAAGGTCCTCAGTTCCCTACCTGCGATTGAAAATCTTGATCTCAGTACAATATGTTCAAAAACATTTTCTGCAATCTTTACGAATTGGGTGTCAAAAATTCCGTAATTTTGAGCTTGTCGCGGGAAATATAATTAAAATTTTTTTTAGTGTATTTCTGGTTCACAAACCGACATTTATTGTCTTATTGTCTGAAATGGACTAAACCATTTGCCAAACTATTTTTTAAATATTTTTCTGTATGAGATAAAAATTACTACAATTTTGACACCCATTTCGATAAAATTAATTTTTTGGACCAAAAATATTCTACAAAAATTTTAAAATTATTTTTCCCATAATCAGCTCAAAGTTACTTGAATATTTGAAACCCATTTCGAAAAATTCGAAAATATTTTATATTTCAAAAATTATACTGAGGACAGGATTTTCATTCGCTGGTAGGGAACTGAGGATCATTCAAAAAAATATATTTTTTTTTATTTCTTGAGTTCTGTACATTAATACGCATCGATTGAGTGGTATTACTTTTATCGCATTATTAAATTTTGTTTTCGTTTATCGATTATCTATCATCCCTGAAAATTTGAAACATTAACTTTACATATGATGGGAGGCAGACATGATTAATTGTTTTTCAAAGGGCTGTGAAAATATTTCAAGGAATAAAACTAAAGCCAACATATCTAAGTATCCGAACCAAGAAAAAAATTAAGAATATGTATTGTGGTTTTAATTTGAGGCCGCCTCAAAAAAAGTGGCGTATGGTCCCCCTTCTACCCTACTTTATAGGGTCGGAAAATATAAACGTAATTTTACTGAATTTTATTACAAAATATATATTAATACGGCATATATTATGACGATTATAAGTGGAAGAGGCTTTTTTATAGTGGCTTGAGTCAATTATGGAGAGATGGAAAATATACACATGGACAGACAGACATGACTTAATCGGTTTCGATAGTAAATATGAGCTGACTTGTATACTTTACGGTGGGTGTAGGATCGCTATTACCAGACGCATAATACCTACAATTTCCACTATAATGGCGTAAGATATGAAAATAATAAATGGAAGTGTTGGGAATGACAAATTTTAGAATACCTTCAGTTTATTTCTATTCATTTAACACTAGAGAGATTAATTTCAAATATTAAACAATGGACAATCATTTTTTTTTTCAAAAATCAGAACATTTATACAAAAGTAATAGGATTTCTTGAATGTATGTTTGAGTATATTTGAATATAGTTTTTGGAATTTTTAGAAAATTACAAACAAAAAAACTATAGTTTTTGTTAAGCATTTATTAAGTTTTAATAAATTTCTATACGGTTCCGGGTGGTTATGAATACCTAGGGTATTTTCATTGCATTTTGTTAACACATTCAGACATTATGGAGTAAATCTGAAAATTTAAGTGATTAAGAATCTGATTCAAATGTTGACACAAAAAAATATGTAAGAACATACACTACGGATATAAAATAGTTTAAGAATTTCAAATACATAAAAACAAGAGAAGAACGAGAATGATGTTGTTAATCAAAAAATGAAAAAAAAAAAAATACATAAGCAAAAATGTAAAAGTTAAAAATGTTGCAAACGAATGTATGAATGAATTTATTCATTCACATTTTAATTTTTTCCGTCCGTAAATACATACATGCAGTAGACATGTGAATTATGCAAGTGTATATTTTATACGTGTATAAAAATGATTTCTTTTGGAGAAAATATGTTGTATGTATGCCTATATGTATTTCGCAAAACAATAATATATTCATACAATCATATATGTATACAAACGTATGTTTAAGAAGTATATTAGGGTACAACCGATGAAAACAAAATATAAGAAAAAACTCTAATCTTTCAACTTAAAATCACACTTTCCAGGCAATAAAATTGCATATTATAAATCTAAATGTAATGTGAGAGAAATCGCAAAAACTAATAGTTTAACTCCACCCTAATATACACTTAAGCATATATGACTAAAAAATGCAGTTTGTAACAGTCGTAAACAATTGCGAAATAAGTGAATGAATGTACATAAATTTTTTCGTACGGTACTATCATGCATGAAACACAAGCAACTGTATAGAATTTATGTACCTACAAACTATAAAATCCATCCATGGTAGAAAACAAATTTCATATGCATGGACAATTGACAGCTATTTTTATGCAGATTTTATGATAGTATAAAAAAAGTAAAACCAAAAAAACAAAATAGCTAAATAAAACTTTGAAGGTGTTAATGTGTAAAGTATACATACATATACATATGTATATATTTTTTTACGACTTTTATTTCATGTAAGACTATTCCTATTCAAGTAAATGCTTACACCATTTTGCACCTCACTGTATTGTCAAGGTAAACCATTAATTCTTTGTCATACACTTTACTCAATGTCTAAGTTACAATGCAACTTTTTACACAATATTTTTTTTACTGAAATACAAAATAACAAAAAATAAGTGGTCGGCCATGGCCGACGATATGCTAACCTACCATTTTATTGCATCACTAGTGTTTATAAGGAAGTTAAGGCCTCTCGTGTTAATTTTTGAGATGATTATTGTAAGAGCTTCAAAGTCTAAAGAGGCAGTAATAGTAGTTCGATTTCAACTATTTTCAATTGGCTTCATCCTTGAGTCCAAGGAAGCTTATGTGCCCAATGTCATTCAGTTTGCTTACAAGTTTACATGGACGGACGGACTAACTGTCGACTTACAATCGACATAGAAAATAAATAATGAATCAATTGATATACTTTAAGGAGGCTGTAGAAACAATATTTCTATGCGTTACATACCTCAGCACAAACATAAACCGTCTCCACTATTATATTTTTGTAGGGTATAAAAAAACTACGAGAAATTTATTCATAAATTTGTTTTAATAGCAGGACAAGAATATTTATTACGCTCAAGCTGCAAGAAAAACAAGTAAGAAATTATAGTCAGGTGTGGCCGATCATATAATACCATATACCGGTTATGATAATGAAATGTGATTTATTTTTCATAATCAAAATGGTACTTCAGTGCGCGCGAACAGTCAAATAGAGTCGAAGAGACTCCGTTTTCACCGGACCACTCCACTCGTCATATGTAGTATTATATAGTATTAGATCTAGCAGTGAGAAATCTCGGGATGTCATCAAAGTTAGATATGAAGTAACTGCCCAGAAAACGGTTTCTTCTAACGGACAGGACATTCGCAGAGAAGATGGAGGACCGTATCTTTCTCTGCAATTTCGACAGTGTTCATTGAAGGATAGCCTTAGCCGACTTGCATGTCTGCCT